GTAACGCAGCTCTGCCGTTACCATTTGCACGGCCGTACATGTAATGCATGTCTGCTTTTTCTGCATACGTAAAGTCACCCATCGTCTACGGCAGCACAATTGTGAATGGCGCTTTTCCCTACTGCGATGCATCATTTTCAACGGCGGCTAGACATCTACTGCCCTCTACCGGCAATGATACCAACCGATCACTCCATTTCTCTTTCCCTTTATTTCCCCTGTTTACGCCTCACCGCGTCACTTGCGACTATACATTCCTATACAATAAATCATTGTTACAATGTCCTGTACCTACCATTAAAGTTTGTACCATGAATTCGGGACCACCCTGTATATATATATATATATAAATTGCTTTTGTTAGAAATAATTTAAAAACTTGTATTTTACGCATTTTCGTGTGAAATTTTATTTTTAGTTTTGATTTGAGTTTTTATTTACTTATTTTATTTTGAACTTTAGTTAATTCCTATTTTTGTTTAATGCAATTCTGATTCGCATCGAAATCTTAGAGAAATGAGAAGTCGAAATCCAATGAGAAATGCTCGTAGGAATTTTGATTTTAGGGGATGAAATAATCTAGGGGGTTACTGTTGTTTGTTGCGTTGAACAAATATAAAAATATGGAACAAACTCACAATCGAAACTTAAGTTACATGCAAATTAAAAAAGAAAAGCCCAAAGACTTAGTTGTAGTGAAGCTAAAATAATTATGATTATTTGAAAAGTGGGTTATGGGACACACTCTTTTTTCAGGAACTGGGAATAAATTGCAGAGAGGGATAGAAGAACTCACTGAGTGTTGTTAAAAGTGTTAATGAACATGAAACTACGAAGATTAAAAAAAATTTAAAAATATGAAAGAACCCTTTACATTTATGATTTTGGAAAAAGGTTCAGATAAAATTATGGATATTAATGGAGAGTTCTCCCCTCTAGGGTGGAATTAAATTATTCTATATGTATATTACTAGATCCGCCGGCCAGGTGGCTGAGCGGTTAGCGTGCCTGACTGCGGAGCCAGTGGCTGCGGGTTCGAATCCCGCTTAGGGCATGGATGTTTCTTTCTCTCTATCTGTGTTATATGTCCTTTCTTCTTTGTGCGTAAATGTGTGAATGAGAGCCGCCCTATAAACGGGTAGTGTCGCGTGGGTGACGCTGCTCCACCGCCGTGGCTTTGCCACAGGTGCTCACTGGGTAACGAAAAGAGAGTTAGCAGTTCTGGCACTTTCTGTGGCCAATGGGCAATAGTTCCAAGTGCACGCCATTAAAAAAAAAAAAAAATANATATATAATCCATATATATATTACTAGAATTATTATATATATTATTAGATATTATTAGAATTATACATATATATATTATTGGAATTATCCATATATATATTACTAGAATAATTAATATATTACTAGAAATTTTTTCAAATTTCAAACACCCGAGAATTGTTCTCCAGCTTTCTCCTCTGGCATCATTCCGAATACTAAAGTTATTATTTCATACTGATATTTTTTTAATTATTCTATTCTTTTTACATTGATTGGCCCTATAATGACGCGTTGTAGGTATAGTTGTGGTAGGAAATTTCCTCTAGCTTTCAAAACTGCCAGCAAAAGCTTATACATCAAAAATCTTGAAACTGTATAAGCAAAAAACTAGATTTTTCAGGGTTTTTCTGGGAAGACAACATGTTTCACTGAAAAAGATTTCGGCCGCAAGAAGTGGATTCGTGTGCAGCACCACCAGAAAAAGTATAAAAATAAATAAATTCAGTGGACTAATAAAAGTAGCGACATCAGCTTAGACGTTTCTGCTATTTAGGTACTGTTTATTTTTAAAATATTTATTTTTCCTAATTTAAGGAAATTTTTTCATTTCATATTTCAAAGAGTGTTACAAATGTATTTTTTTAAAACAAACAGCTTAAAAACAAACTGACAAACTATTAAAGGTATTTATCTCAAGCATTTTTAACATTTTTAATTTTCTCCTGTCCTAATTCTTACTTTTCTTTCAATTTTTAAGCTTCCCACAAGGTCAATTTATGAAGAGCTGTATTCCATGGATTTTGAAAACTTCACCATTTTTCTTCAAACGACAAATGATTTGTTTGTTCACTGTACTTTGGGATTAACGGGAAACGATATTCGTGAAGATGATGACTGCCGGTACATAAATTTCTGATATTTTTAAATCAAAATTCTGATTAGACTACTGATAGCCATCGCATCAGACATCAACTGTAAATATTCTCTTTACTGGGACAAAATGCACTTAAAAGCTGGAAGGGATAATATTAATAAAAACCTACGAGATCTAATAACCTAAATACTCTTTTTTAATAGAAAAAATGTCTACGCAATTTTCCTACTCTCCATGCTTCCATACTTGTAACCTCTTCTCTACTATGGCTTCGCAAAGTCTTGCTTTATTCCCAAGACAGTACAATTCCTTAGGAAAATAGAATGAAATAGCGTGAGCAAAAAATTAGATTTAGCAAAATCGCGGAGACGGGGAGGGAAAAATAACAGTCGAGAAAGGGGAAATCTCATAAGACACGAGAAGCCTATTTAATTTACAAATAGTACAATGTTTGTTAAAAATAATAAAATGCAATCAACATGTTTCTCACTTATAGTTTGTCTGAAGTAAGAACTAACTTAGTCATACGTTTGGGCTCATGGCGGTGACTATGGTAACGAGGCATAATTCTAATTATGGATGGGATGTATGTCTCTGATTAGGACAGGTTTTAGTTTACGTCAGCGAGAAAAGGGAAATCTTTTTCTTTGGTCCATTGTGTTAGCTCTAGAGCAGTGATTCTCAACCTTTTTTTTTGTTGCGGCACACTTTCAACGATTTCGAAATTTGACGGCACGCAATGAAAAAAATTGGATTAAAAGATTAGTCCTTGTTTAATTACCTATAGTACACTGTGTTAAATAGTTTGTGATAATAATTTTGAATGTGAAATAAAATAATATGCACTACAGAATCACATTTATTAAGGGATTAATTATTTCTTTCGATCAATTTTTTATAAGTTAGTAACAGTTATTTTTTTTTTTTTGCTAGTTATTAATTGTCAGCTTGTTTTCTATAGTTATTAACTGTTATTTTTTTGTGATTTCTTGTTAACTAGTTGTTTTTTGCTAATTATTAATTGTTAGCTTAATTTTTGATAGTTATCCTTCGTTAATTTGTTTTTTATATATTTGTTTCTTTTTAGTTATCCTTTGTTAATTTGTTTATTAATTGCATAACTTACTTTAATGATCAGCTCTTACGACAATCTTTTAAAATTGTGCGTCATCTACAATTTAAACACTTCCATCTTATTTTAAGATTGTCAGCGACAATACAATCGCCGACAAAGGTATTCACGCGGTTAAAGCGTGGAAAAATTATAAAAAGTATATATATATATATATATATATATATATATATATATGCACTTTTCTTTACTCATAACTTTACTTTGCTTTACTCATAATTAAAAAAAGCATTATAATTTTTATTGTATCATTTCTAATGTTTGGCGGCACACAAAAGTGCCGCGGCACAGTGGTTGAGAATCACTGCTCTAGAATGAAGAAAAGTAACCCCTCCTGAAATGAGCTATTCTTGTTTCCATAGCAGTAGATGGCCTCAGACTTTGTGGCGGGTGGAGTTCTTACCGTAGACATGCTATACAAACACACTCTACACATGACAACGTAATAAAACCGGTGGAGACAAAAAGGGAGGTTATGTTATGAAAGCTTAAAAATAAACACTTCGGTGTCCTTGATAATTTTAACTAGGGTAAAGTATTTGCAATAGGTTATAGTTAATTAATCAGGTAAAAATCACCTCTCGCACAGGTTCTTGTAATGAGAATTCCTAATTCTGATTTATTTCTGCGTCTAAGTTGGCTGTAGAAAAAATTTGTTATTCTAGTTGTACTACTTACGATGCAGCTTTTTCTACTTAAAATTCAATTTATGAATCCATTTACATTTAATTAAAAACATAAAAAACCAAAGATAGCATTCAAAACATTGAAATCATTGCGCTTTGCAGTGAACTCTCACTTATGCATCGGTTTAAGAGGCCAACATAAAAAAGCGCATAAGTGATCAGTGGAAAACTTCAAAATTCTTAAACGCAACTTAAATTGCATAGACAATATGAATAAATATTTTTTCTAAAGATTCAATATTAATGTCCATACTGTTTTGATATATACTATAATTATACAGAAGAAAAATTCAACCTACCTAAAGACAATTTATTTTCTTACAGAATAATCCTTAATGCATGTTTGTATTTGTTTTTGCCAACGTATTTCAAAAACAGTTTTTTCCAGTTCAAATAAATGGGATAAGGGAGTTTCAGAAGCAGAATTAAATTGTAAAAAGTCACGAATAGTGTCTAAAGCTTCTAATACTGCTGCGTGATCTGGAGGAACTTTATCATCCTCGTCAGTATCATCCGCCACGTTCTGAAGGCATAAAAGACCAAAGATAACATTCAAAACATTGAAATCGTTGCATTATTAATTCATTCCATCTATGTGATGCATAGCTCTTTAGAATTTCGTATTTCAAGAGTCTTTTCGGAATTTATAAATTTCAGTAAAAGCTTTTGAATGGTAATTTTACTTGTATGTTTGAATACAATCTCAAGAATTAATCTTCTTAGAATATTGAAACGTGAATACATGTCGTCTCTTAAACATGATAAAAGCATAAAATACACCTAAAATTTTTAACATTTTGATCTGATTTTTGAACTGTGTTATTGTTTTCGCTTATTTCTCTTTCTACACAGGAGAATACCGAACTGAGGTCATTAACTAAAACAATTAACTTCTAATGGGATGAAGAAATACAGCAGCTCAAATAACAAATCAGAATATCAAATTATGTTACTGGTTTAAAATTGACATTAAATTTGATTTCTGATATGCCAAATGTTGTTTTCAAATTTGCTTTACAATATATTCTGTGTTTTAATTTTCAATTTATTATTTTTATGTAACAGAATTTTTTAACTTTCTTAAATTGAGTAACCGAGAGATGATTTCTTCTTTTGTTTCTCCTAAAATCCACGAATTTCTCAATATGTTTTGATTTGCTCGAAAATTGCTTAAAATTAGAATTTTTTAAGGATAAATTTTGAGTGAAATCATTCGCATAATTTCTCATAAATCAAATTTTAATTATTTGACTTTTCGTAAAATTTGATTTCTCTAGAACTATTCGCATTCAGGATTTTTTTTTTCAATTTAAAACTTTTTTTAAAAGCAATTGAAATATATAATAAAAATAGTAAATTATTTTATAAAATTTAGATGAAATATTCTTTAGATTAATACAATTTATAATTGAGTACAAAAAATTTTTGAGATAGAGCAAATACGCATATTTTATGACACTGAAATACGCATTTTGAAATTAACATCACGGGGCTCAAACTTTCAACCATTTTCCTACCTAAACTATTCGGAACCATTTTTTTATATTTTGATAGTCAAAAATCCAGACGCGTGGAGAAAAAGGCGTGTTTTTTTTCCAAGAGAAATACGTTTTTGCATCTGGTTAACTTTACATGTCTTCTGCTTTAAGTTGCACATTTCGCCCTCAAAACATTGAAATTCGTACACTGAAAGCGAAAATACAATCATTGGATAAAAAAGTGGTTGTTCTTTGCGCACTTTAAACACAGAAAAATTATTTGTATGTCAAAATAGTCATTATACAGAATCCCCCAATACCATTCAGTATAAACACAGCTTTGAATATGAAATAAAAAGCCATCCATATTTCTCAAACTTCTGAACACATGTTACACAAAGAAAAAAAATCTCGAGGGTCACGTCAATTTTTCTTAACTTGAGGGAATTCGAGATACTTCAAAATTAATTAGCAATAACATGAAAATTAATTTATATTTTATTAATTTATTATTATTACTTTTTTCCTCAAATTGTCCATGGTCGAGGAAACATTTAAATACATGCTTTAATGTGATATTCTTGAAAAATTATTTAATTTTTTTTACTCCAGGACAATATTGCAATATTATGCCAATGTTGCATAATAGATTATTATTTCTCAAGAGCATTCATATGCATATAGACAAATGTAGTGAATATAAATTTTACACATTAGCACACAACAGGATTTAAAATGTGAAGTTCCATCTTTAATTACGCATCAGCGCAGGCATATCCGCGTGACGTTAAAGTGGCAACAAAATATCGACAAATTATATCCTATGTTATCTCATAGCTAGTATTCGTTTTATTCTGTGCCTTGCGATGTTAAAAGGGCACATTTTTTATGTTTTGTGAACTGAATTTTCTAATTTGTAGTTCTTCAGCAAACACAAGAATGTATTCGCTATGATATATTGATTACAGGCAAGTGAAACAAACAACTTTTTCTTCGATTTTTTTTCCTCCTTTTTTTTTTTTTTTTGCAAGGAAAAAAACTTATTTGCAAATTTTACTTCGACAAAAGACAATACTACTCCTACAATGCTTGAAGTTTAAGTGTGGTTCCATGATTCGAGTACTATACATTTTCTTGGTTGTAATTCATTTGCCCGTTTTTCAAATTGCATGAATAGAGATAGCGATTCCAATAAAAAACATTTTTTTCTTTGAATTTCATATCAGTTGAAACAAAAGTTACGTCACTCGAACGTCACATAATAAAATTTTGTTATTATTTGCATGAAAATAATTGTTCTTCAACAATACTTTCAGATCCAGGATAATAACGAATATAGATGTTAATAATCTTGGGTTTCTTTCGGACGCAATAACGAAAATATAATTAAATAGAAACTCAACTAAGGTGCACTTCGGTAATCAAATCTAAAATACCAGATAATTTCACAAAAACTGTTGCACATGACAAATTTTGCTACTCGATGGACAGTCAATTCTGTTCTGCACTTTATCTTCACAATATTTGCGGTTCGGCAAAATTAAAAACAGGTACTAAACTTCGAAAATTAATGTTTTTTATAGTAATCAAAATGACCCCTTTTAGCAGTTTTTGGTATGCCCATAATTATTATTATTTATTTATTTATTTATTTGTTTTTTTGCTAATCGGAAAATTTTAAAGTAGTTTACCTAGAAACAATTTAGGTATATCCATAATACTTTTTTTTCTCTAATCATCTGAAATGCAGGAAATTGTGAAGTAGAATACCAAGAAATAAAAAAAAAAATAATAATCTTCGAAGATCACGTGCATATTCAAAAAAGGTCAAATTAACCTCAGTGTTAAACGGCATTTTTACATGAACTGTCAGTTATTATATTAAAAGAACTGAAGATCATATTAAAGTTCGTTGATTGTATAAGATTTATGCTATTTTTTGAGCAATATTCTCACAAGACCTATCAATATGACTGAGTATTATTACTTCTAATTTTATTTTACTTTTGCGATTAAAAGAACGGCATATATTTTAGTTCTACTTTTCAGTTATTAAATGTTTATTGTTAAATTTAATTTCTGATAAAACACATCCTATGATATTGATACTTTTTTCCGTTTTTTTTTTCTGTTTAAAACCGAATATATAAGAAGTTTTGAGTTTTACTTTTTAGTGCTTTTATTTCCACTAATTAATTTCCGATAGAACACTTAAATGTTAATCATTAAGATTTCAATATTTTTTTTCAATTTACGGATTAAATTTGGATTCTTTTAACACATATCTATAAGGCACTGAGGCAAATCCAATGGTATTGGGATTTGATCCAGTGGAGGCTTGAAGCCCATCTAGCTTCAGAACATTGTGTACCATCTTGCCTGGGAAGTAAAGGCAAATTTGCCATATTCATGCCGTTGCAAATGAAATTGTGGAACCTCAACCTCCATTACCCCTTTTGGCTTACAACGGGTTAAAGTGAGAATACTCTCCTTTTTGAAAAAAATCGTTTCTAAAGTAATTTTTGTTTATTTACTAAAGTAGTCTTTACATTTAACTGACTTTGGTTCGATAATCGTTGGTAATAGTACTTGAATGCTAAATGTGAAAATTAAATTTTACTTACATGATCATATTGCTTTTTAGGTACCATTTTACACGTTCACAGTTTAGTCCAAAGACTGAGTTCCCTATTGTCAGTTCCTGTTTTACTTTCAATTCCATGATAGGAAAGCCTAACACCAGCTCACAAACAGCAAATTCCGGGGCTTGTAAGTAATTTCATCAATTATCTGGAATCAGAGCATAGTTTCTAACAAAATATAGCTTTGCCTAAGACCTTTTGAGAAAGAAGGATATTCTCGCTAATCAGCTTTTTTATTCTAAGAAATCTTGCCCAGAAATGCCATTGTTCATGGCTAGGCTTATTACAAACTGTTCAGAAACACGAGAAGAATTAGCTTATAATAAGGAAGCAGCCTTCGCCACGCACAACAATTTGCAGGGCATAGGTTCTTAAAAAATTTTATTCCTGATGATGCGTATTAATTATCCTAGACATTTGTCGCAACATTTATGCAACCCTTTGTTATATCGAAAGCTTTTAAACTTGTTCATTTCATTAAAAAATAGACAAAAAATGCCACATAAAAAACAGTAGCTTGGTGAGAGAAACCAATTACAGATTTGAAATCGGTAAAGAAGTATATTGTGCAACAGATAAAAAGAAAAAAAATGTTCTGTAGTGTTATATGTCAAATTCATCTCATACGATTAATATATTAACAAAATATGCTATCCTACGGTTAACATGTTAATGTTTTTACACAAAATTGCGGTAATAATATACACTGGTGTGCAAAACTTAAGCAACAAGTGCGTTATTTGTCATAACTCTACAAGAAATAATCCGATTGACATGAAATTTGAATATGATATACATTATTTTGAACTTAAGCGATGGCAAAAGAATAATGACGCAGAAATGAATATAAAGCTTAAAGTAGGGTATGGAACAAAAAAACGCTTTATTTGACATATAGTGGCGTTACTCATGATTGCCTGAAGAAGCGTAAGTACAACTGGCAGATGTTCCCTAGTATGGGATATGCCCTCCCCTTACTGTAATTGTTGCTTGGCATCGTCTCTCCATGCTAAGCACCAGATTATCCAGGAGTTCTTGGGGTAAACGTCTCCATTCCTCCTTTAACGCATCTTTCAGCTGATGGGTGTTACCAGGAGGATACTGTCGTGTCGCAAGACGTCTCCCTAATGCATCCCACACATGCTCTATGGGATTTAGATCTGGAGAGTAAGCTGGCCAATCCATTCGTGTGATATCTTCACTTTCCAGTAGCTCTTGAACATTAGCAGTACGGTGTGGCCGGGCATTGTCATCCATAAAAATGAAGTCTGGTCCAATGGCCCCTCGGAACAGACGCACATGGGGTAGGATTACCTCATTGCAGTAGCGGTCTCCAGTTACAGAACCTCGGTCGAAGATCTGAAGCTCAGTCCGCCCGTTCAACATAATGCCACCCCAGACGACAACTCCAGGACCACCGTAACGATCTCTTTCCGCGATGTTATTGGGATGAAATCGAGCTCCAACCTCTCTCCAGATCAACTGACGTTGAGAATCGCTTGTAGCACTAAAACGACTCTCATCTGTGAAGAGGACGCGACTCCATTGATGAGGCGTCCAGGTTTCGTGTTCTCTGCACCAATTTAAACGGTGCCGCCGATGGCTAACTTTTAAAGGTATGCAGCGTTCAGGACGTCTAGCAAATAAGCCACCTTTGTGGAGGCGTCTGGCCACTGTAGATCTTGATACTTGTCGTCCTGTGGCTATGCACAGTTGCTGAGATATGGAGCTCGCTTACTGAAAACGGTTTCGTTTCACCTGGAGGACAATGTAACGGTCATCTCTTGGTGTTGTTTTCCTTGGACGGCCACCACCAACCTTCCGAACAGCTGTACCAGTAGTTTTAAAGGCATTCCAAGCACGAGAAACAACACTTTTGTTGATCCCGAACTCTTCGGCGACACTGGTCACACTACGTCCTCCTCAAGCTTCCCAATCATTCTTCCTCGAGTAAAGTCGTCTAAATGATTTCTTGGAGACATGTTTCACAAAACAAATCACTTGCACTTGCAGCGAATGTCTTTAACTGTGGTGCTCTTCATCCTTTCAGCACAGCTTTGACCTGCACGCGCCGACCTACAAGGTTTACGTACGCCTACATCACCTGCGACGTTTTATTTCTAAAATTTGCATACAACTAATCTTTCTACTGAATTACGTACATATTATACTGTAATTTCATGGCTATCTTATACTTTGTTGGGGAGCTGTGGCCGAAAAGCCACTTGTTGCTTAAGTTTTGCACGCCAGTGTATTTTCCTGACAAGTGTTTTTTCTTTCTTTTTTTTTTTAACTTTTTCATTCTTTTCTCTCAAAAAATATTGATTTTTAAGGAAAAATATATAATGATAACTAAGAAACTATCACAAGGTCTGTAAATAGAGCTTCCTTTTCTTTGCTAAAAGAAGAAAAGATTTAATTTACACATTTTTTACTGGAATAGTACATATAAAAAGGTGGGGCAAAATAATGGAAATATTTCTATACTAATATATTTTTTCATATTTCTCACAAAATACTTCAAGAATTATTTCATAACTTCAGAAATGTTTAAATCATGCCATTTCTCATACTTATCAATGATGCTTTAATCTTTTAAACGTTAGGACCGACAATAAATTACAAGCGGACAATATTGTTTTTGAGCACCTGGGCCAAAAATTGTGGCATTAAATTTGTTGTGACTTTTAAAAATTATTCTGGTTAATTGTGCTATAATTGTATAAAATTTCGTACGCCTAGCTTAGATTTTCATGGATATATGGAGATTTTCATAAAATAAATTTTTTTGTCTTTCCTTTCATGTTATAACATTGAAAATATTCAATAAAGATTAACAACTTCTTAAAGCAATTTAAAATTAAATTACAATATTTTTGCTTTAAAATTTGAAAAGAATGCGTTTAAAACTGTGCAATATGTAAGTAATTAATCTTCAAAGTAAGAAAATTTATAATTTTGTTGTGAATCTTAATTCTTAACTAATGAAAAAAAGTCCAATTTGATTACCTTAAATTTTTAAGAAATTTTAAGCATCTTTAAATTGTTTTTGTACTTTTTCAAAGAAACTCAAAAGGAATCAAGGCTGTTTGTTATGCTGTAGTTCTTGAATTTAAAAATGATGAATTATGAATTATGACGTACATTAAGGATGACCTTGATATATATGAAAGTTCAGAATTTCTTAATTGTTGAAGATAAGAAAGATTTAATACTGCCGAAATCTTTCGTCCTAGAAGGATTAATTCAAGGTTGACCGGGTCTGTGCTATTGTTGTTTAGATAAAAAGAGGTATGCCACAAGAGTTTTTCATATTTTTATCAACATATTCACTTGAGATTCTAACATTAGATACTAGAAGAAGCTGGTGGATCTCTCTTGATGGTACACCCACAGTGATGTTAAACAAACTTCTTGAATGACAAACAGACAAATTAATTTTTTTCTTTTAGTTAACTGACGCAAATTTATCAATATCCATAATGCTGTTACAAGCACTACACATGCTCCTGAGGCTAATAGAGACGATCGCCAAGGTGAAAACAAGGAAACGCGTGTCGTCTTCCAGATTGTGCGTCTAAATTTTTAACAACAACTTGAAAAAATAAAAGGCAGAGAAAACCTAATTGATTTCTATATTACATTTCTTTTAATTTTAAAAATGGTTCCTAAAAATATTCAGATAAAATACAGACACACACTGGAAGACGGAGGCTGAATATAAAATTTAAAAATATAATTAAGATCACATTCACAGACAACGCTTACACACATTCACAGTACGCGGGAGATACACAACTCCTTTACGATATTATTTTGTATCCATTTAAATTATTTTGTATCCGTAACACAAAATTAAAGAACAAATGATAATACTTTACAATAAAAGTTCATACACTGAAATATGATTGTACAAGAAAAGGAAACGTGTGAAAAAAATTTTCCTTTATGGGTATGATTCCCAACAATGCCGATGTTATTATTAATTAAGCTTGTTTAAAACGAAATTTGGAAGGAAAAAAAACTGATCATTTTGAATTTATTTCAAAAAGTACAAAAGCAAATTAATAAATTGCTTGAAACATTTTAAATATTCAAATTGGACTTTTTTCATTAGTTGCCATCTACTATTCGCTAAAAAATTATTAAATAAAATGTCAAATTTTTACGCGCATGCGCAGTATAAAAACATTACTTTAATTACATTTACGCCAAAATACTTTTAATGATATTTTTTTTTTTTTTTTTGAATTTTTAAAGAACAAATTTCCTAAGCTTTTTAAACTCCTCTAAAAATAATGTTAATTTTTTTATATATATTTTTATAGTTAAAGCAGAAAAATTTAGGACAAATATAAAGATTTTTTTTAAAATGTCCATATCTCCATAAATATTTAATAAGCTTACGCAATTTAATTCAATTATTAGAAAAAATCGCAAAAATAATATTTTCAAGCTACAGATTTAATGCTACATATTTTTTAGCATAAGTTGTTTAAAAATACTATTTGCCGCTTGTAATTTATTGTCGGTCCCTCAAGAATTTAAAAGCTTAAAGCTTCATTCACGTATAAAAAATCTCATTATCTAAACATCTCAAAAGTTCAAAAAGATTATTTCCTTATTTCTCTAAATTACTTTAAGAATATGAAAACAAAAAATGCATTAATATAAAAGTGTTTCACTTATTTTGTCTTTCTCCTGTATTTTACCTACCAAGTTTGCAATCCAGTTTTCTATGGAATACTTTGCAATTTTAAGAAATGTTCAAAATAATTTGGCAAAGCTTTAAATTTTTATAAATTTTAAACATTGCCTATCCACTTTTAGAATGCAACATTTAAATCATTGCCAGCATCATATATAGTATAATAATCTTACTTGCATCATTTTTTTGTGACAGAGTTTTAAAAATAAGAATTAATTCTAAATAATTTGGGTTTTGGCCCATATGAATTCGCTAACTTTATAGCAAAGGGAAATTTAAAGCCAAATTTAATTCTAGCAAAGGAAGGTACCCGTCGTGTATTACGCAAATCATTTTGGTTAATTTTTTCACTTAGGTTTTTTCTTAAAATTAGAAAGTATTTTATTACATTTATTTTGTCTGCTACGTTGTACATCAAGTTATGAATTACAAGAAGCTTCAAATTTTATCTGTAAAGGGTTGCTCTATTTTTAGACATTTTATTTTTCATCAGAAACTGTCATCTTTTCATTTTAAGTAACTAAAATTTAAGGATTAGAGTTAATACTAGAATTAAAATTTTTTTTACCTATTAAATTCCAAAAACTTTTATATAAGTCAGAAATGTACAAGTATTTAGTAAAGTTACTCTATTCATAGCGAATTAGAACTGCAACCAGACGAAATATCACGCTAGATGGTATTTTGTGCATGTTGTTTTGGACGTAATATTCCGTTTCCAGAAAATTCTTCCATTTCCTCTTTTTCTATGTATCATTTCGCGCGAATGCCTTCTCTTTTCGAAGAGGTTTTGGTCAAGTATCTTTAAAGGGATTCTTCCAACTGCTATTTTTTATCGCAAACTAAGCAATTTTTTAAACTATAAACCTTACCAACTTAATTTTCAAAATTTATAACTCTACGATTGTAACGAAATAGAAAAAAAAAATTATATAATATTACTTAAAAAAAGACTAAATCAATTATAATATTCATATGTTATAATTAATTTAGAAATTAATTGTAGCATTTGAATACATAAATTTTTATTTGTTGGTGTTGCAATAAAAGTTTTGTAAATTTTCAGATTTAGAATTTACATTGAACCTTGACCCAACGAGACATCCGCCATTTATCAATAAAACTAAAGCACAAATCTCATTTCACAATTCTCGACAGTTAATAGATCCCTACGAGCAAGGATTTTCAATGGAGCTGGGGAAAAAGTATACTTTTCGCTTGAAAAAAGTAATTAATATCAATTTCATTATCTTTGCATAAAACAGAGTTTGATATAATTAACCTTATCTTTAATTTTCAAACAAGACATAATAATAATACACTCTTCGCACCGCAGACAAACGGAATAAACTTTACAGTCTCACAAAGGAGTATACTGACAAACTCTCAATGAAGACTAGTACGACTAGTGTTGTGCAATTGAGAAGTCACGAAAAGTTATTGTTATACACTAAAAAGTATGTAAATCGTAATTCAAAGTTTCGAGAAAGTATTCACTCAAAGAAACCTGAAAAGGGTATAATCTTTTTCGATTTATTTACTTTTATTCTGATACAGAACTTGTAAAATCATGCTTTTCAAGCTCTGCTTCCAAAAGTAATATACAATTAGAAATACTGTCAATATTGATTAAGGAAACAATTTGCGATAGTGTACATATTTCTCGTATATATAACTCCAAAATCTTCTGTACTAAAATTCTAAAATTTGGGAAGTGGGTGCAGAGAAAAATTTCAGCACTGATCTCAAAATCATTCAAAATTTTATTTAACCATTGAAGGGTGGTTTGAAATATGATTCTTTTTTGTATGTTTAGCAGTTCGTTAATGTTAACAAAATTGAAGCGATTTTTTTTTAAACATTTGAAAAATAACATCAATCGCTTGTTAGCTTGCAGCTTGTTCAAGAAAATCCTTCATTGAGAGTTTATTACCTGCTTATCTATAATTTATTATTATTATTTTATTTCTGATTCTATATTTCAGATAAAATAAAGCTATATGAACGCATATTAACGCATAGGAATTTGTAGTTTGAATTGATGATCTGAAATCATGTAATCAACGCATCAATCAATTTATTTTGCTGATCACCAACTCGAGCTATAAGAGGTCAGCGAGAAAGTTTCGGTCATATATAAAAAATGGTTAACACTAACCGGAAAGCTGAAGTTTTTGCTTCAAGCAAGTTTTGCAATGACAAATCCATCACCTCTTTTGGGTCGAATTTACATAAACGAGGTTTAACCCCTCTTGTTTTCCTTTGAAATCTATAAAATAGGTGCAGTTTACTTTATTTTACTCATTGTGCTTCTTTTAATATGTATTCACCTTTTATAACTTCCTTTGGTCTTCATTTGATCATTAATTTCTCATTAAAAAATATGTTTTTCCCTTCTATTAAGTAAAAGGAGGCATTTTTTTATTCCTCTGTCTCACCCTCTTTCTGAAATCAGGAAAAAATTCTCTTCAAGTGATAAGATTTTTTTTCTTTGTATTAGTTACACTTAAATGATGCAATTATAGAAATAATATAATATATATATAGGGAATAAAATTTTTCTACCTTCAGTATTTAAATATTTAAGGTGAAAACTACTTTCGTTATATGAATTTTTTTTAAATAAATAATGGTAAGTATAAGGGATAAATTTTCTGACAGGCATTTTTTGTTTCAAATTTAATTGAATTTTCGAAAAATCATGGTAATGCCAGTGCCCTAACCTTATTCAGCAGAGTAACTGTTGCCAATTTTGAAACAAAATCGAGAAAAGAATGCAAGAATGCAAAACGGAATGCAAATAATGAGTCTGCCTAAAATTTAAGTTCCATTTTATCGACAAAATAAAGACTGGCAGAATTTTTTTTTTCTCAAGAAGAAGTAAAATATTTTTTATGCAACTAAAAAAATTTATTTTTGAAAAATGAATTATTTTTTCCATTTTATCATTTTATTAATTAACATGAACAAATGTTTTTATCTCTTTCTGAATTTTCTACTCATTGTTCTCTACACACTAAATTTACAAAAATTTAAAGTGCAATGTCAATTGTAGGGGAGAGTGGGATCAATTGTAACAGGGTACGATTGTAACAGAGCAAAAATTTCAATTGTCGGGCTCTAGATTTGGTTCCTAGGTGGCGCACGCGGTGTATTTGATAAATCTACATGTACACCCCTGCTGGCAACCATTTTTATGTACTTTTGAAAGAGTTACTTCACAAAAGATATTTTCACGCTACGTGAGTACTTTTTCTGGTATTAGAATATTATATTGTAACAAAGTAATTTTGTTTAAACAAACAAAAATTATTAACCGAATATGTAAGTAACCTTAATTAACATTTCAAAAAAAAAAGATTAGTTTTGTTAATTAACAAGCATTGTTTTTAACAAATGAAGCTGAAATGGCGTCTTGGGAACGATTGTAACAATAAGTAAAGGGACGATTGTAACAGCTGAAAATAAATAATCTTATGTTTACAAACCATTACTTAACTCTTTAAGAACCATTAATAGTTTCCTATATCATTTATATTATGTTGCATGTGCATTATTTTATTTGTCACCTTTCTTAGCATAAATTAAAATTTTTAACCCCTTAAAGTTAACCCTTTAGGTCTCTGCTCATTATTATTTTTGCTCCTAAAATATCACTACTATTTTGATCAATAAAAAAATATATCACAACTATGATAATATGTATAATTAACTATGTTTTAGTTGAATTTATGAACTGTTACAATTGACCCAGTAAGTGGGGACAATTGTAACAAGTGCACGACTGTCAAAAATTTTTAATAATTATAATAACATTTAAAATAAGGTATTTTTTTTCTAGTAGATGATAGTCTACTTTACTCGTCTGTCAATACTAATAATATATTGGATTTTTTGTTAGTTAAAAATAGTTAAGTAAAAAATATCACAATTGATCCCACTCTCCCCTATGCTTACTTAATCCCGAAATTGTTTCCATAAATTACAGTCGAAGTAGGGTGCTCAATTGAATTATTCAAAAACTCAGATTTTAGACTGGGGTTCATTTTAACTGTTCCTGCAATTCAACAGATCATTCCATCATCTGAAAGTTGGTAGTTTCTTATTTATTTTTTGTTATTCTCAGATTCGATTAAGAGAAATGGTTTTAGAAAGAAACAAAAAAAGAAAGAAAGAAGGAATTTGGCAATATGTGCAAATGAACAAAGTTCAGATTTTGCCATGCAGGCTCATAAACTCTGTTCTTCTACTATGCCCTCACATTTACGTATGCGCTTGAGTATTCGACACACCAATTTTACATCTTTGTTTCTAAACAGTAGTTTTGGTACTATCACAGGAGCAGAAATTATCTGCCCCTGATTTAATAGCAATTCTTGATTCATCAGTGTACTATACCAGATAGTTACCCTCAGCTCACTGAGGAGATTTGAGCCACTCATCTCTAAAAGGAATATGGGTCTTGAATGGCTTTTGAAAAGCATACCTTAATGACATATAGTCACAGTCAATAGGCATTATAACAGATGGATGATCGGTCACTTACGGTATGAGGGGTCCCCATGAGAAGTGCTTAGAATTTTCATTCCATGAACCAAGGCGCATATAACTATTCATACATGTCTGAGCTTCAACTTTATAGCGCAGATATAGTAAATGGAGTCCTAATAAGCTCTCTAGCGCAGCAGTGGTAGAGGTCCTAAGACAGCCTGCTGCTCAGACTATTCTTTATCATCTGGTAAGACCAGTTCTTACAGAATTCCTCTTAGTCCTAGATCACCAGCCAATGGTGCCATATATGGCAATATGACTTATGGTCCTTTAGTAAATCCTGTAAACTTTCAAATGCATAAGACCCAAGTTTTACCAATAGCATCTCGGCAAGACCAAAATATTCTTTGGCCCTGCTGAAGCATTATTTAAACTGGTAACACCTGTTGAGTTTGGAGTCAAGGAAATCCCCGAGAAACTTGACTTTCTCAGTGAGTTCTAACGTATGATCAAGGTATTCCATAACACCAAGATTAATAACACCAAGAGCTTTCTCCAGGTAAAGCCCAAAAGACTGATCTTAGAAGCGTTAACTGATAAGACAGATTCTGAGCAACATCTAGCTACTTCTAGAAATACACCATTCATAATTTCAAAGAGTGTTTTGCTATTACACTCAATCCTCTTTATCGCTTTTGTCATCTTAAGGAGTAGACTTCACGATACATTTTTTTGTGAGTGTGAGGTCTATTCTGCTCAAAGATTTGAGCATCTGGAACAATGTTGTCTTAGCTTCCGCGAACTACAAGATATTCTTGTCATGTGTTTGCTGTTGAAACTTCTTCGCTAGTCATGATCTAGGGTGTGGGTACAAGAGACCTCTGAATTATGCGCCTTGCTTCTCGAAGCGGCAAAACTTGTAAGTCTAAACATAAGCTTTACATTTCACTCAGTTGTGATCTGAAAATTCATCTAATACAAACTCCATTTGTTTTGAACATCAAAAGTTATGAATAGTTTGCTTTTAAACTTTTATTTCTGCTAAACATTTAGCTTAGTTTGTTTCAACAATTATTGGACATGAGAAAAAATAAAATCATTAAAACATTCGTAAATATGTGCTTCTTAGAGATAATGTCTATGAATGCCCTCACATGTTATTTCAGTTTCAGCTCTTTGTTGCCAATGCCAAAGAAATCATTTAATCGGTTTTTTGATAATCATTAGTGATCATTAGTGATCATTTGATAATCATTATTTTTTTGATAATCATTCTGATAATCATTAGTGTAATATATAAAGATAGATTTAATTTTGAACTTCAACCAACTTAATTTTAAATCAACATAAAGAAGCAAAGAAACCAATTCCTCATTAGTCTATCCATTAATCGCTCACGCCGCTGGTGGAAAGTTGAGGGGGGGGTGAACACGAATAGCCCTGGAACCAAATCGTGAGTTCAACTTTGGAAGTCGACAAAACTACTGGCGTGGGTATAAAGCAAGGTGTACGTTAAATCAGTTATATCTGAACGACCCATCGTTGTTATTTTTGGAAATTTGGAAAGAGAGAAAGTGTCAATTACGACGCTATACACGTTATACATCTAAAATCAAAATTACATGACCGTTAAAAGAGAGTAAGGTGCTTGGTCATGAGTGAGCAATATGTTTATACAAAAATGTCAGATGTGCAATTATAGGTATAAATACAAAACTGTAGTTTGTCAGATGAAAAACTTACAAAGATATTTAAACTAACTTGTCTTTGGAATTTATTTTAGTCTTATTAGGTTTAACATAAAAAATAAATAAATTAAATAGGATCACTTGCCTGCTGAACAATCTCAAACGCGTAAATCTGTATACGAAAAAATTAACCATGTCTGTAAGTAAAATTTCGATTACTTCTAAGCTTTTAGTCACAACAGTTCGGGACTCGTTTTATTCTATTCAGTATAAAATAATAAAATAATTGCCAAGCTAAACGTACCCCTTTAAACTGTGACAATAATAAAAAGACTCAATACCTTAAAATCATGTAATAACGATAGTGAAAATGTGCTTTAATTACAAAGTTCGCAATTGTTATACGTTTTTTATACTGCACTATTGAGAATAATTAACAAATATTTAGATCGAAAAGAATCTGCTTCCTTATCCATACGACACAAATTGCATTGATTACTTAGAAAAATGGAAAGCAAGAGGAGGTCATGGACCTACAAATGAAAGAGTAAGAATCTCTTCTTTACTTCCTGCTTAATAATCCTATATTTTTATTATTACGAATAACCAATTATGGATAACCAATTGTAAACAATAAGCTTTCTTGCACCTTATCGAATCTTTGAAAACTACCGGTGTATATGTTTAAGATGTGAGGGAACAGGTTTGGTATTCTAGAAAGTTTCGTTATTAAGACTTGAATTAGTTTTCACCCTTATCTCAATTCATTACTTTTTTGTGGACGGGATAGCCTGGTTAGTATGAGAACGCGATTTTGAATCCCGCCTCCTAAAGAATCTCCGTCTATTAAGTGATGAGTGGTGCTCTTTAAATCTAACTCCAAGTTCCTATAACAAATGGATACATAGGGGATATGAACCTGGAGATGGATCATTCTCTGCTTCATATCAAAAATACGATCTGTAGATGAATGAATGGGTTATGATTGAATCTCGTAAAACTAGCTGTGATGTGTGTATCCTTGGCCATAGATGGCAAAACTGCAAAAACAAGAAGCGCACTCTCTGTCTTCAAAATTTGCTTGATTTCAAACAAACTTGCTGCAAAATTGGGTCGGCTGTTAACCGGCAGTTACAGAAGAAAAGTTACATAAGTAGAATCGCGATGGCTCAGGCGATGGAGCGTTCACTTTCCAAAGAAGAAAACCGGGTTTGGATCCCAACGATTGCTTGCTGATTCCGCATCAGGCTTGTATCGAGCACAGTACTGACGTGAAATGTCGTCAGTGGTAGACGGATCATGAGTTGGAGTCCCTTTGCCATGACTAACCGTGGTAGGGCACTAGGCCCATTTTCAAGAGATCGTGGATTTGATTCTCGCCAGTAGTAGATTCTTCCCGTGAAGTAAATGGTGACTGATGCATATTAAATCTGTCGAGTCACAAAGTCCTCCATGTTTCCATAACAAATTATACCTCGGGGGATTGATCCAGGAGTTTCCTTGTCTTCTAGATTTGTTCAAAATTACAAGACTACGAACATACTACTGAACCTTAGTAGTCGTGAAAGTCGCCTTTGACATCGACGAACGTCGTTGAGTCGGCTTTTCGAAGACGGTTATAAAATAAAATAAAAAAATTTCATAAGTAAGTGGCATAAGCTACAAAAGCGTTAGGGTGATTTGAACTGGGTTCAAATCCTAGCCATGATTGGTCGATATGAATTCTGCAACCGGCTCGCACCACCCGAAGTGCTAAAGTAAACTTATTTTCTGTTTTGGACGGGAAATGGGTGAGTATTCACTGACCGTCAAGCTAACCATGCGAGTTTTTCCTCTCCACTTAAAGCAATGCGATTTTGTTTCTTCAAAACGTCCTAAACGTAGGCAACATTTCTCCCAATACTTGATCCATGAGTTTCCTTGTCTTCTTGATGGGGTTCAAAATTACAAGGCTAAGGAGTTGGACATTAGCAGAAGTAAACCCAAAATTGGGTCGGCTGTTTAACGACGGTTATAAAGTGACACAAGAAGCAACAGCAATAACTTTTTGAACTTTATATACCTAATCGCATTACGACACTTAAAATGAAGTAAAAATAGTAGAAAAAAACTAGTAAATGAAATAATTGCGTTAACTTTCATGAGTGTTGTCGTCCATTTTAACGGCTAATTATTTTCGACGCTGAATTATCTCTTATTTTCTAGATTATTTTCTATCTCAACTAATAATGTTCCAAATGGAACTGATGGGTAAGAAAATAAAACAAAAAGAAAAGCTTGGTGCTTCGTATTCTTTATTTTACTTACAAACTTTTGGTCAGGTTGTTTAGAAAGTAATCTTTTTATTTTAAATTTAACTTTAGGAGTGCATTCAGGAATGTTATACAAATATTACTTTGACTGCCTATGGACTATCACAAAGCAAAAAAGGATTCAACCTTAAACGTGAGTATGTTTTACTAACGAAGCTAAACCACACATATGAATTAAGTCTTTTACAATGTGGTTTGGAGCAAAAATTGTGAGCCATAGTGCAATTTACAAATGCAGCGAAAAATAGAAAAGCATGGAAGTTTTAGATTTTGATAAATTTTTTAAGCTTTTTTCTAGAGCAATCCAAAATGATAATACAAGTCTACGACTTGAAACCTTGATACTAATGAGATTGAATTTGGAAGTTTTACAGGAAAAAGAAAAACCGATATCATTTCAATGAGAGAAATTTATGTGTACATACACAATCATATATATATATATATAT